ACAGACTTTATAACAGGCCATGGAAGAAAAAAGGTGCTGGTTGTGCCAGTAGATTGTTAAACTCATCTGTAGCATGTAAATCTCCTATACCTCCCTCTCTGAAAGAATACTGCAGGTGCGCAAAGAGAAGGGAGGTTGCTCACTAAAACAGAAGGACACGCTGTCTTTATAACTGTGGGAGTAAGAACAAATTATACAGCTCATCTCTTCTGTTTCTTTTCCTTCAGTCTGCATCACTGCTTCCCCTTCTTCCCCCACTTCCCCTCCCACACACATACCCTGGTCATGGCGTGGCTGTTTACACCGAGGAACACAGACTTACTAACCTGTTGGTTCAGTAAAGAAACTGGATAAGACAGGGAAAATAGCTTTTAATACATATTTTCAGTGAACAGAAAAGCATTATTTTAACATTTAATATTCACTGTTCTCCTGCTATCTTAGAACTTAACCAATATCTACTGAAATCAGTTATAAGTCACCAACTGACTTCAGTCAATATTTTACTTCAGAAAAGAAATGCGATGGTGTTATTAATTGCAGACTTTATACTTTATCAGATGTGTAGTTTCAGTGCTCTTAGTTCAGATTGCTTTATTTCTTTAGTGTCATTAGTCTCTGTATAGTAAGTTTGATTCTCTTGTATTTATGTTGTTGAAATCTGTGAGCACAGTATAACCTGCTATTATGTCTGTGGTTTTTTGGTTTTTTAACTAAAAGCTCAAATATTTGAAATGGACGGAACATTTAAAGTTAAAAATCCAAATACAGTACAAGGCACTTCCTCAAAACCCTACCTGTAATTTAAAAAAAAAAAAATCATATTGTACAAATTGAGAAAGCCTGCTTACAATAGGTGTCTCACAGAATCACACCAACACAGAAAAGTAGGCCTAGAAGGGACCTCTGGAGGTCATCTACGCTAGGTACAGACATTACACTTTTACCAGTGTAAGTGATCAGAAACTGGTTTATAGCCATAAGAGAACAGAAGTTTGGCACACAGAGCGGTTAAAAAATAGTGGAACCCAGTCTAAACTTTACTCCTCCCCCACACCGAAGGGTGAATGTGTGTTCTATTTGCTACGGGTATTAAACAATACTGCTTACAAAAAAAACACATAACTTAGATTGATTCTACCTCAGGCTTTTTGAATGTCTGTACCTAGCCCTGGTCCAACCTCCTGCCTGAAGCAGGCTCATCTCTATCCAAACCACTGCATACAAATCCTTGTCTAACTTATTACTAAAACTATACAATCAACCCTGCCATACAACCACAAGATACAGCAGTAACTTGCCAGAGGTAGGTTGGAACCAGCCAAGCAGGGATGTGAACCTCTATGGAAGTGGGAGAAGAAAGGGGAACACAAGTTGTGAAGCTATCATTAACTAGGAGAATTTGGGAAAGACTAGGAGACAGACTAGCTGCATGATTGCAGCTACAATGTTTCCTGCTTAAGAGGACACAGAAAAATATGCTAAGAGCAACATAGTTTTAAGGGAGCATACTTATAACAGCAGTGTGAAGGTCAGTGAACCGGGATGAGGGGATTTGTGATAGTAGGCATCATGTACTTTGAGAGTGGTGCAGTACTAAAATTTCTTGGGTAGGCAAGGTATGGAGTTTATGGCTGCAGTTTAGCTAGTGGCCTAGACACCACAAACTTTCAAACACAGATAGACAGATGAGTGTTTGCAACTAATGGCAAAACTCTCAGTGAGTTCACAATTATCATGATTCTGGCTTCAGGGCCTGCTGTCATACACACTCAGACAGAGCCCAGTGAAGTCAAAGAATAATATGTATAAGTATGTCTTATAGTAAATGAGAAAAAGTTTTTTTGGTGATACCTTTCATTGAACCAACTGTATAGTGGGAAAGATGCTAGGCAAGACAGGCACAAAGGGCTCTTCTTTAGGTCTGGGCACACATATTAATACCTTGTCAGGTTCTTTGTCTATGCAAAAATTTAGACCTTTGAATACTGCAGAAATTTCAGAATGAGAGAGGGAAGATTGTGATAGGTTAATGATGTTCATTCTCTGGTCAGTATTATCCTCGTTCTCTCCTGTGTTGCTGGTTTACTGCCTTGGAGATGGCTCTTATTGTGATATTTGGTTCTAATTTTTTCTTTCTTGCTGGCTGTCATCAGGATTTTTTGATAGACGTTTTGAGTCTGCTGCATAGTAACAAAGTATGTCTCAGGTTTATTTCTCTAAGTTCAC